AATTTTATATATATAAGGAATATTAGAAAAAAATTTTTTACCTTTTTGCTTTCGATCAAACAAACGCTAGTATTAAAGTAACTTACACCTTCGTATTGAGATATTGGTGGTGCTGAAATCTATATTCATTATTAGTGAAGGCTATGACAATAAATAAAAGACTTACTGTTTTTAAAATTAGCATAATATAAAGAAATATATACTTTGTATTATGATCTACATGTGTATATCATAAGGTATTGTTGGAGAAAAACTAGTAATAAATAATATAGAACTTTGAGTAAGTGAAACAATTATTGAAATTTTAAGAAGATTGTTATTACCTATTTGTTAATCTCATACCACTTATTTAAATAATTACCTTATAATACTTCAAATAAAGTAATAGAAAAGATAGTTCTTTGTGCTTGTGTATTTTGCCAAACAAGACTGGTAATGCAGAAAAATTAGTAAGCATCTCTTTCCAAACTAGATATAGATAGCGAGAAAGAGAGATTTGAAGCCTACACATCCCATTAATTAATATGCAAATTTCAAATAAGTCCAGTAACGATATACCAACTTATGGTATACCAGAAAGTCAAAATGAAAATATTTCTAAACTCCTTATTTTCTACATTAAATCATTTAAATAGTGAAGGAGCTGGTAAAATGGAGTTAGAACTTGAAGAAGAAATTGAAAAGATGAAATTAGAACTTGAAGATAAAATTGAGAAGATAGAGTTGAAACTTGAAGAAAGCTGATAAATTGCAATCAATGTCTTTTACAATGATAAACTCTTTAGATGAGACTTCTGATATTTTGGTGGATATAGAGTTTGATGAAGATTGTAAACTAGAAGAAAGAAGTTGCGATGATAGATCTATTCCTAAAATCAATAAGCTTTTAATAAGAAGCCATATTTGTATATAAATATTAATATAAATTTTTTTTTTTTTTTAAAAAAAAAATTATCAGCTGATATAATTAAGAAGCTTCATCTCTTTTATGTTAAAAACAAGTATTCTTTAACAGATCAAGCTTTAAAAGAAATTATATAAATATTTGGGCTTTTAGATATTTCTCTCTATAAACTTCGAAAACTTTTTAGTGATATGGTTTCAATCAAGCCAACACTTGTAAATATGTGCTGAAATTCTTGTTGTATATTTAATAAGAACAATTCTAGTTGCAAAGTGTGTTCTATTTGTGGAGAACCACAATATATATTAGAAAAAATACACAAAAAGGCTCAAAAATCTGCAGCTTATTTTTCAATAATTGATAGCCTGAAAATGCAATACAATGATTTAGAACGTGCAAAAATTCTACAATATTATTATAAATATATATCAAGAAAAGAATACTTATCTAAAAATAGTAAAATAGGAGATATCTTCGATAGTAACTGATATAAGTCTTTGGCTGTATCAGGACTATTTTCAGATTCTCGTGATATTGCTTTTACTATATCTGTAAATAGTTACCAATTGTTCAAGCAAAAGTAGAATGATGCTGAATTGTTTTATTAATAAATGCGAACTTACATCTATTTCAAAGAGTAAAGAAAGAAAATTGATAATAGCTGCAATTATTCCAGAACCGAATTTACCAAAAAATTTAAATAGTTTTTACAGCTGCTGATAGATGAATTAAAATATCTTGAGGGTAATTTTATTTTTATTTATTTTTTTATTTATTTATTTATTATTATTATTATAGGACAGAGCAAAATCTAAGTTATTTTTTATTATAAGTGTGGATACGAAAAGGGATAGACAGTGGTATACATCAATAACGTAACCACTTCTGATGCAGGTTTCACCCTGTCATATTATTATTTCTTATTTAAATTTTTTTTTATTTATTTTTTTTTACAAGAATGCTTTCAGGCATTTTAAAATTTTAAAATTTTAATATTTTTAAATTAATTATGATTTACAATATTACATATATAATTTATATAGCCAGTATATCATATTATAATGAATTAATGCAGGAAATATTTACATTACGAGGTCATATATTATCAGTATCTAGAGATATTCCTGCCTTATCCAAAGTAATATGTATATTTTATCACAATACCTATAGTAGATGTTGATATTGTTACTTTCATAAGACCTATTTTGAAAAATCTTGACATGTTTATTTTTTGCTTTCACAACCACGAGGGTACAAAGGTACTATATATGATCCAAACTATTTACCAATGCATACCCATAATAGTTACCTTCGAGATATTACAAAAACAGAATGTAAAAGCAAAAATAATCAATATAAAGCCGAACGTGAAACTGGAGTGAACAACTATAGCATCTTATTTGAATTAAGTTCAATTGATTTTTCAGCATCATTCTCAGTAGATATAATGCACTCTCTTTTTAAAAATATTGCGCAACATATGTTGTGCCATTTCATTAGTAAATTTTATAATAATAAAAACCTTAATAATACTGAATACAAAATTTCAACACACAACTGGGATAAAATTAGAAAAATAATAGAGAATAATCAAAAAATGATGCCATTGGAATTTGGAAAACCACCAATTAATATCTGAAAATATTATAATAGTTTTAAAGCTAAAGATTGGTATAATTGAACAGTTTTGTATTCACTTCCGCTTCTTTAGAGTCATCTTCCAACAAGGTATATGGGGTGTCTCCTATTAAAAGGGCCCATATTTACATTTTTAAAATTTTTATTTTATTTTATTTTTTAATAGAT